AGTTTAACAATGTAACAAGGCCAGTTTTTATCACCTTGATTTTCAATTTTTGCACCTTTTTCCTCCAAAGGCCTTGAGGCTGTGGTTTACAGGCTCCTCGTGGGTTTCCAGTTACAAACAAGGGTAAAGAGACAATTGGGAAGCAGAGAATGATCCTGCAAAGGGCACTCAGGCACTGGTAGGCGGGTGGGAGGAGGAGGTTGAGGAGGTGGGGGCCAGGCACCCCTTCTCAGTTCCTTCTACTTAAGGGAGCTGGGAAAGCAGCTAAGGAGTTTGTGGGACCCAGGAGGGGGGCTCTGCCATCAAATTAGAACCTAACATTTCTCTTCTTCATCCTAATTCCTGTTTTTCTCTCATCAAAATTTGTAAATGTTTCTACCTGTTTACTGGAACTAAAGACTATTCCTGGTTAACCCTAAAATATGGACTGAGTTGCTTGATTTTCCTATTAAATTCTTCCTCAGATGCTTATTGTTCAAGGGATACACCACCTGAAACCTGAATTGCATTTCTTTTAGAACATGTCGACCGGAGTGCAAAATCAATGAAAACAAGTTCTTGTTTAAAAAAAATCCCTCAAAGAGAATGAAGTAAACTCAATTTTGCGGTGCATTTTACTTTGTTTGTTTTATTTTATTTTTACACTTACTTTACCAACCTTGTACTTCAAGCTTGAGTCATGAGTACATTTCTCAAAATATTTTAAGCAAATGAAAAAATATTCATCACACTATGAAAACAAATATCCCAAAATATCTTCTCTGGTCACAATGTTATCCGAACATTTAGCTGTAACTCTGTATGTGACTGGTAACACTTGTTTATTTCACTCATTTCCAATTGGTCTTGTAAAACAAGGAATTTTTCTATTTATGAAAAATTGTCAAAAAAAACAACAACAAGCCTTTCTCTTCGGTGCTGCACATAAAGGGTCTTCTTTGTCACCTCCTCCTGGAATGGTAACCAGCCAACCCTACCTTCCCTCCTCTAACCGAGGCAATGTGGGTCTGTGCAGGAAATCTAAATCTGGCCCGCAGCACCCCAGTGATTTTCCAGGAGAGGCAAACGGAGGAAGCAGAGCTGAGAGGCTTGTGTTCCTTTCCGGGCGCCTGCCGTGCAGAGCTGGGAGAAGTCTGCTACCTAGTGGAAGACGGAGGCCACGGCAGTTACTCGGAATGGCAGTTAGGTGCCAGTGCCTTAAGGTCGCCAAGGAACTGCGCCTGGAGTCCTGGGCTGTGGTCTCAAGAGGATGCTTAACAGCAGCAAACAATACTCAAACCCAAAACACGAAAGGTTCCTTCATATGCATGAAAACTGCACGGTAGTGAGCTACAGAAAATGCCTCTTCAGAAAGTAATGCCACATGTTTTATTTAACAAATTCCATCTCATTTCTACAGTGATTATCAATATATTTATTGTGTGTGTCTTTTCCTGAACAATGGTGAGAACACAAGGTGGGAGTATACTTATCCCCCATTATGATTCAAGTTGTATAAAATTTCTATACAGAGAATGTTTTTATCGGCTCAGATGTGAAATCCATCTTAGTTTATGGCTGTTGTTCAAAAACTACTAAAATGTTCAAGTATAGTTAAGGGATTAGGAAGTGGCGCCCAGGCCAGGCCACCCCGAGGTATCCATGCTCCCTTTTGACTTGGTCACACATTTCCAATTTGCTTTATGTCTTAAATGATCTACTTTCCATTACAGTGGCACATGCCCAGGTATCTTACAAAGGCCTCCGTCCCCTGGCCCACCCCTTCCCGCCTCTAGTCCTGTTCCCCAAGGTAAATACTTATAGGTCTGTTAGCTTCTGCTTTCGGCTTTTTCCACCTAATCTCCTTAAACAAAATGCTCCTGCCGCTAGCTCCTGGAGCTAGACCTGGTGGCGGTGGGCTGCCTTCGTCTGGGCTCCCTCAGAAGCTCACCCCAAGACAAGGATTCATGGGCAGGTTGCAGAGGGAGGATGAGGCAGGGAAGGGAGCCAGGAAAGAGCACGTCAGCACACCAGCTGCCACTGTGGGCGCCTGGAGCCAGACCCCAGTGCAGAAGTGGGAGCCAGGGAGAAGGGAGCCCCAGGTCACCAGTTTGAGGCAACGCTGGTCACACGGGCAGCCAAGTAAGCTCCAGTGGCTGGAGACTCTCCCGAGGAAGCAGAGTCTGGCAACTGGACACAGAGCCCCTGTGTACAGCCACAGTCACCAGAAATCACTTTGAATCAAAGACTCTTACGTCTTTTGCAAACATCTAAGTTACCTGCAGAGAGGATGCCGGGAGTCCAGGGGGAAGAGATGTGCTATTAGGAACAAAGAGAAAAAGGGGTGAACCCAGAGGCTGGGAAGGACACAAAGGTTCGTGGGTCCAAAATTAAGAGAGATTTGCATTCGGCTCCTCACTCCTTCAGAATGGAAAGGCCAGACGCCAGGCACAGATATCCCACATCCTACCAACTAGCCCCATGCCACGCACAGCACAGCCATTGGGGCTGAGAGACCATGCTGGCTGGAACAAAGAGTGCCTCAGCAGTGATTGGTGGGCCAAGACCCTAGGTCAATGGCATAAACTGCGTGGTCTAAGAGCTTCCCGCTGGATTTAAGCTGCCTTGAAATTAGGAAATGCCATGTTTTTTGCACATACCAGCTGGCTCAGTAATGTACATGTGGGATCTCCCATGGGGGCTGAGTGATGTGCATCTGCAGCCAACATTGATTACAGGTACTGGAATTTAGGCTAATTCATCCTGAGCTCATGGCCATGACTGTGTTGTTGAACTGGTATAAAGACAAATGTAAACTCAGAAAACATAACTAACTAGTGAATACCAAGGGTCTGCAATAAACTTAGGTTTGATAGAGTATCTTAGAATGCTTTAAAATCATTTGACACCAGCACCTTCTTCAAGAATAACAGATACAAATCACTTCTTTGTTACTATTATCCTGACTTTGTGAAAGTGAATTCAAAGCGGTACAATATCAACTAACAAATAAATAAGTAAAAAGATTGTTTCCAATATTGCACAGTTCATATATACATTATAAACAAGCAAATGCTGGGCAGAAACAAGGTGGTCAGAGGAGTAAGGGCACTGATAACCTTGTTAGTTTGCCAAAATTAAAGTTCTCTGTGATTCCTAGGAAAGTATCTAGAAAGATGTTAAGGTCTCTAAGTCAACTTCTCTTTTTAAAAATTAAAATTCTCCCCAGAAAGTGGAGAGGTGTAGAGTGCCAAAATACATGCTACCTGGGGAAAGGGCAACATGTTGGGACAGCAGAAAACTATTCTGCTTGTCATTACATACAGTTACCAGAAAAGGCAGGTGCCATTCTTGGTATTGAGGCTCCCACTCCTGGAGACACATCTGAATCCTGGAGGGGAAACGTCACCAAGAAACGGCAACTACTGCAGCACTGGAGGCCAAGAAATGGAGAAATGCTCGGCTTGGGTGCCCCGCAAAGGCCCTCTTGGGCTTCAGGGCTTCCTCCCCTCCCTCCAGCTCACCCCGCTCCAGCCACACCGGCCCCTGGATGGTCCCTCGGCCTGGAATGCTCTCCAAGCCACCACCGGCCGTTCCCATAAGGGGCACCTTCAGAATTCACTCAAACAGCGCCTTCTTGGTGAGGCTTGCCCTCCGTCAGACTGCAGCTCCGACACTGCGTCTGCACCTGTCGCCACCTGACATGAATATGGCAGCTTTCACTTAGTGTGCCTACTGCCTGTCTCCCTACTAGATAAGCTCCATGAGGAAAGGTGCTGTGTGTTTTCTTCAATGCAGTGCCCTTGGCGCCTCAAAGCGTCTGGCACATAGTAAGTGTTTCATACACACTCACTGAAAGAACAGATGAGGACATAAACACTTAGGGAAAAACTCTCAGGTGGTCCTGACACGGGGCGCTTCTGCTTTCACAGCAAACAGCGCTGCAGCGGCTCTGGCTGAGCAACCGAGTACAGGGCGTGGGGCCCGCTGACACCTGGAGAACCTGCTCATCCGCTGAGAAAACACAAGAACCAGAAAGCCTCCCCACACCTGCCGGAGGGCTGTGAGCAGAGTCTCCAATTGCCCTGTGGTCAGAGGGCAGCAGTGGGTCGGCCCGGGTAGCGCGGACCTGAGCAAACGGCAGGGCGTGCTCTCCCGGAGTGCCCTGAGTGAGCAGCCCGCCCCACCCGCCTCCCACAACAGAGTCTGGCAAAGGAGGGAGGGGAGCGCTGCTGGTTGCCCCCCCTCTAAAAATATCATTACCCCTTTGGTGCTCTTCTCAAGAAAAAAAAAAAAATTCCATGAGAACAAAAGGGCTGGCAAAATTCCTTTCTAGGATATGGAAATCATACCACACTTTTATACATGGGACCTGTTGTAAAGCTTGAGCAGAATAGTGTAAAATGCAATCCCTGTTCAAACGAAGGTTATTCTCTTGATGCAGATGAAAGACTAAGAGGCAAGATGTAAGTCTGGCAGCATTTTTCTAACAAAGGGTTCCTGAGGGCAGAGGAGGGCCGATATGTTACCCCTGGAGTCTGGGTGGCATTCTAGTTAAAACACAGACATTTCCTTTGTGGTTTTAAGTTTTATTTCACTTTGTTTTTAATATATTTTGTACTTACTTATAATCTGCATTATAAAAAAACTTTTATATTACTTACCAGTTAAACTTACTTAGCTTTTGCCTCCCACAACTTCCAGGAAAACTGATATTTCACCAAGATGTGCCAATAAATCCTGCGATTTTGGATTCTCCTTGACACTGTGAACCCCCAGGGGTGTAACTGTAATTATAAGTGTGGACTTGTGATATCACAAAAACCACCTTCTTATGCCAAAATGTATGATAGAGACAACAACTGCTATGGCTCTTCAGGAAAAGCCAAAATATTTGGAAAGACTATATGGAGTCAGATGTGAAAAATATTACTCAAACTACTGCCAGTGACGTGACCTGTATGACACAGCCTTCTTTTTGCCTCAGTTATACTAGTTCTTAGAAATGAGGAAACAAGTCATTTTAAAAACAAACATATTATGTATTTTTTTAATATAAAGGGCATGTAAATGCAAAAATGCCAGAAATAAAGCTATCTTCAACTCCAGGCTCTTTTCAAAAGATACAAGATCATTTTTTTCAACATAAAAGATGCACAGATAAATCACACTCATACCTTACAAATGTTAAGTAGCAAACAATTTTACTTCATAATGAACAATGACTATTTTTCAGTAGCTTGAAATTTCAGTTATTCATGCCATTTTTTGAGTAAAAAAATCATACACCTTGTCACTTATGTATTACTCAAAAGTACAAACAGCCCTGAAAATAGAGTCCCATGCTTATCATTTGTATTATAAAAATAGTGAGACATTTATCAGGCATAGCTAATACAATAAAAACTACATTTTAGAATATGCTTCACAAATCCAAATCCAACATTTCTCTTTGGTTCAGAAAACATAAGAGGTAGGTTCAAACAGAATAAATGCCTATTATGTCACTAGATTGTCATTAAAATGTTGGTAATTTAAAACAGAAATTACTAGAAATCAAACAAGTTTAGGAACTAATAAGAATAATTTCAGCTAATAAATGTTTTTCTAAGTCCTAGTCACACAAATCAGAAAAGACAGTTGACTAAAAAGATGATTTTAGTAAAATAAAAACATGGTATTGATAGTATAAATTAAGTTGCATCTATCATAATATGTTCCTAAAACTTGGGGTAAGAGAGAGTATAAATGTACATGTTTATAAATTGGGCCTTTCATTAAACATAGGTACCTAACATATATGATTACTATAGGCTACTATTAATATGTACTATTGTCCTAGGTTTGCATGCCCAAATTGAAAATTGCAGGTTCAAAAAACTCGATAGTGAGGGGGAAATGAGAATGTCACTCACCTGTGATCAACCCACTCAGGTAATCAAGAAATTTCAGATAACCAAGAAGGGTCCTTGGAAGACTTGGTGATTAAAACAGAATCTGATTCAAGTAGGAAAAAAGGACAAAGAAAAGAGAGATGCTCTTCAGACACTGATAGAAGTAAAAGGGTTTTGTTTCCTGATATTTTTCAAAGCAATAACAGAATAAGGGGCTTTGTGTTGATAACATAAGAGTAACAGACTGACCATGAGTGTGTCAGCCCAGGAACCAAGCCACAGCACAGTGATTGTGGAGACAGACCCACTGAAATAAATACCATTTTATCACTCCTCCTCACACAAAAGCAGTATGAATGGGCTCGGGTGTTCACATGCCTTAAACCTCTACCACGTATGTTCTTATTTGGCTTAAAGAAAGGTAAGGACGTACATCTTATTAGTTATTTGGCTGCTGTGAAGTATACTTTCATGCAATGATTTTTTTATTACTGGTTCTACAAGAAAATTTTAATAAGTCTATGAAGACATTCAAATACATAAAGCAATTTGAGTTTCAAGGTTTTCTATTTTCTAGTCATTCTGTTTTTAAGACACATAACTTTAAAGGAACTGGCATAAACTGGAGTCAACCAAAATAAAGATTAATGGTCTATAATCCTACCACACAATACAAATTTAATTCAAGCCATACATTTTTCAGATTTAGGATTCAATGCAGGGATTTGTAGAAAGGACAAATAAGAAAAAAGATAAAACACAACTTTGTGATTTTTAACATTTCTGTATATATAAAATTAAGCCCAAATGTCTGAAGTGATCATTGATCTGCTCTTCCCTTTTCTGAAAAAAGTAGGACTCCTTTTGCCAGAGACTTGTTGCAATTCTAGGAGAAAAAGTCATTATTCAGAGACTGCTGAAAGTTTCAATAATCTGGCTAAAGCAAAAAAATTCAACATGTCATTTCTGGGTTACTCCTAGAGTTTGTTTCATATTTTCATAAACCACATAGCTAATGCCTACAGCAGGGAGCACTTTCATGAAGTTTGGGGTGATGCCTCTGTAAAGTCCCGGTATTCCTTCTTTGGAAACTATTCGTCGGAAGAGGCCCACCATGTTCACCTGTGGCGTTCCTTCTACCATGGCTAGGAAATAAGAGAGAAAACAGGCTAATTTAATCTTCAAGCATGTTTGGTTATTATACACATTATGATTTGTGTATTTGTTACCATTCACATTATGATTCAGAATGATACACTAGAATACAATGAAAGAATAAAACGTATTCCAAGGGGCCCAAGAAAGTACCCCATTATGACTGTCCTTGTATGGCACCTAATAGTAGGTGCCCTGATTGTGATAATAGTGGGAATAACAGTTATTTGTTGAGTGTAATATTACTATGTGCTAGATATTGGGCTAATTACTTTATATACCAATAACAAGTATTATTATATATTGTTTTATAAATGAGGAATTGGAGGCTTACGAAGATGCAGACACTTACCTAACACACTTGGCTAGCAAGTGGGACAGCTGAGAGCTGATGGTCTTTCTGCTCCAAAGCTCATGCGCTCTCTACCATCCCACCCTGCCAGCACCCCCACCCCTCAACCATTAGCCAAGTGTTGAGGGCAGAACAGTTTGATCTTGGGAAGTAAGGGGAGTTGGGGAACACTTTGGGGAGAAGAGGAAAATACAGGGTCCCTGGTCCTTGAAAATGACCTCAATAGGCAAGAAGGAGAGGAAGGGAAAACGGTGTTGCCAGAGCAGCAGATGGCAGCAGACGAGGGCAGAAACACTGGACTACCGGGTCACCACTCCCTGCAGGAGGCGATGATGACTCCCGCCAGAGGGGCTGGCCGCAGGAGGGTGAGGGAGGGGTGAGGAAACGGAGGCACAGGGAGAAAAGTCAAGTGGGCCAGATTATTAAAGGCATCCCACCAAGAATTTCAGAATTTATTCTGAAGATATTGAAGAGTCACAAATACTTTTGAACAGGAATAAAATGATCACCTGGCTTCAGAAACAACACACTTATCAGTCACCCAAGACACTGAACGGGAGTCAGCAGGTGGGAGGGGATGACTTGTTAGGCAATGCTTTCAATCAGACAGGCTGGGTTTGAAGTCTGGCTCTGCTAGTTACCCAAATGCATAAATGCATAATCTTAGGGAAGTTACTTAATCTCTTTTCGCCCCAGTTATCCATATGCAAAATGGACATAATATTAGTGTCAACCCCAAAGATGGTTGTGATGGTTAAATGAATATACATGAATGTTTAGTTTAGTACTTGGCCTCTTCCTCTCCAGCTGTATGGTCTCCTTTCAGCTCCTCTGGCGTGCCCATTTTCTCCTGCCTCAGTGCCTTCACATATGCTTTTCCTCAGGCTGGAAGGCTCTTTCTTTCCCCCACCCCCCAGTTGCCCAGCTAACTCCCACTTGCCTTTCCAGGCTCAGCTTCAATGACAACATTCTGCGGCTCCCAGACAAGGCTGGAAGCCCTTGCTCAGTGCCCCTCCCACCGAGGGAAGGGGCTTAACGAGGGTGTTTGCTTGCCGAGTGTGTCTCCACTCCCCCATGGCAGGGGCCACACCTGACCTGCGGACTGCTCTCACCCTAGCATCCGGCAGAGTGTCCAGCACCCGACAGTGGCTCAGGAAATACTCGTTAATTAAAGACTGACTGCTTGGTTAGGGGACGGGTGGTTAGTGCTTGGAAGGTGGGTTGGAGAAATAACTGCAGATGCCCAGGTGGACTATTTAAAGAAATGACAGTGGGTGAGTGAGAATGGCCAAGGAAGGAGCAAAAAAAAGAAAGGCACAGAATGGATACTTTAAAATAGCAATAAAGGCCAGGAAATCATAAGAAAAGAGAATAATCAATGAGATGGCAGGAGAGCCGGGAGGGTGCAGTGTATTCAAGGCCCAGGGAGGAGACAGTGCCACACAGGCAAGGATCACAGTCCAAAAGCTGCAGGGTCCAGTAATAAGAAATAATTCCAGCCACCATTTACCAAGAGTTCGACAAAGGCCAGGTGCTTTAATATTGTTGCTAATTCTTACACTATTACATGGTTTTCATTCCCATTTACAGAGGAGAAAGTGAAAATCCAAAGTGGTTTAGGGCAAGAATCTGAACCATCTAGATACTAAAGGTTATACTCTTAAAACATGTATTCTCAGCACAGGCAACAAAATTGTACTCTGTTTATGAATTATGTACATATATGCATGTGTGCAGTGCACCTATGGTATTAAAATTTCATGAAGAGGGAGTGATTAGGAAAAGAATTTCTAAAAAGATTCCTTAGGGAGACAATCAGGAAAAAAAGGTTGAGAAACACTATCTTACAACCACACTCTGCTGTCTCACTGGAAATTGAAGTTCCAGAAGCATGTCACTAATGCGGCACATTTACCACCGTCCCTCTTTCATCAGAAACTCGCCTTGAGCCTGCATGCGCGTTCTCACCAAAGCCAAGGGGTAGCTGGCCAGTTGACCACAGGTGCTGGATAAAGCGCCACATCCCAGCAGAACCATGACTCCGGGGTTGACAGAGTCTTTAGCAAAATTATCTAGCCAATAGGACTTCAAGAGCTGCCAGAGAAACAGAAAAGAAGAAAAATAATGAACAAGTAATTTTACAGCTGCTTTCACACAACATGAACATTTCCCAGCTGCTCTTGCCCTTATGAGAGGCAGGCCACATTTCTGCAAGATTGGCGGTACAGTCCCAAGAGCAGCAGCCCTGCAGAGGGGTGGAGAAGCCACCGGGGATTCCAAACACAGGAAGTCTGCACTGGCTGCTCATTTTCTTCTGAAGAAATGAGAAGATCAATAGCACACCAAATGTAGGATCTGAAGGACATTTCCTATGGTGAGTATTAATAAGAGTAATATACTACTAATTGCATGTAATTTTGTACTTAACACGTTTTTTCATTTAGGCCTTTTACAGAAGCTCTGAGGTGAAACTATTCTTCTGATTTCAGAAATGAGGAAAACTAGTATCAGTGGAGTTTTTTTTTTAACAAGGATACAGAATCAAGTATACTGACCCCCAGGCCATGCTTTTTTCCCTATTATCCTAGATCCCTATATTTCCATTAGAAGGCAATAGCTGAGAGAAATGGTATAAAATGTATGTCCTAATCCATCTTTTAACTATAAAATATTTTAAGTACAAAAACATATGCTGATATGTGGGAAACACTGTATTTCCTTTTGGTAGTCCAAGTATACAGCAATATACAGATTGAATGCAATCCCTATTCAAATCTCAACCAGCCTAAAATTCATATGGAATCTCAAGGGTGCCGAGTATAGCCAAAATAATCTCAGAAGAGAAGAATAAAATTGGAGGCTTCACAGTTCCTGATTTCAATATACACTACAAAGTAACAGTAAGCAAGATGGTGTGGTACTGGCATAAAGAGAGATACATAGCTCAGTGGAACAAAACAGAGCTCAGAAATACTCTTCAAAATATGTCCAAATGATCTTCAACAAGAGTGCCAAGACTATACACTAGGGAAAGCACAGTCTTTCTAACAAATGGTGCTGGGAAAACTGGATATCTGCATGCAAAAGAATAAAGTTGTACTATTATCTTATATATAAAAAAACTAACTCAAAATGGATTAAAGACATAAACATAAGACCTAATCCTACATAGCATAAAAGCTTCAGGACATTGGATTTGGCAACAGTTTCTTGGAAATGACACCAAAAGTACAGGCAACAAAAGCAAAAACAGACATACAGACTTCACTAACTTAAAAATTTCTGTGCAGCAAAGGAAACAATCAACAGAATATAAAGGCAATCTATAGAATGGGAGAATACATTTGCAAATCATATATTTGATTAGGGTTAATATCCTAAATACGTGAAGAACTCCTATAACTCAAAAACAATTTAAAAAAACGATTATAAATTGACAAAGGTCTTGGGTAGATATTTCTCCCAAAAAAGATAAGTAAATGAACAAGCATATGAAAAGATGCTCAATGTCACTTATCATCAGAAAAATTAAAATCAAAATAACTAGATAATGCTTTTGATTCATACCTGTGAGGAAGCCATGCCAAAAAAACTCACCAAAAAAAACAAAAAACAAAAAAAACCCAGAAACCATCAAGTATTAGCAAAGATGTAGAGAAATTAGAACTCTTGTGCAGGGAATGAAAGGGTGCAGCTGCTATGCAAAACAGTTTAACAGTTCCTCAAAAAGCTTAACAGAATTACCGTATGATCCCGCTGTTCTACACCTAGGAATATACCCAAAGCAATTGAAAGCACAGCCATACCCACAGTAGCCAAAAGGTAGAAACAACCCACATGTTCATCAACAGATGAACAGATACACAAAATGGGGATATATATACATACAATGGTATACTATTCAGCCATAAAAAGAAAAGAAATTCTGATACATGCTACACATGGATGAACCCTGAAAACATGCTGAGTGAAATAAGCCAGACAAAAAAGGACAAATATTGCATGATTCCACTCATATGAAATAAATAGAACAGGCAAATACAGAGAGTCAGAAAGTAGATGAGATGTTAACAAGAGCTGAAGGGAGAAGAGGGGGGGAATTATTTCATAGTTGTTACAGAGTTTATATTTGGAGTGCTGAAAAAGACCCGGAAATAGATAGTGGTGATGTTGCACAACACTGTGAATGTAATTAATGCCCTGGAACTAAACCCTTAAAAATGGTTAAAATGGCAAATTTTACATGATACATATTTTATAATTATAAAATTAAACTTTTAACTAAATGCCCAAAGCCATTGAATTTTACACTTTATAGGAGCGAAAGTGAATTATATCTTAATAAAACTGTAAAAAAAAAAAAAAAGGTAAAGTTCTCTAAGGAAGCTTTCACTACACATTCCACCCCTCCCCTCAGCTCTAGGTTGGGTCCCTTCCTAATTTATCCAGGCTTCCTACCTCTGTCACAGCTCAACTAACCACACTGTGAGTTAGCTGTCTGCCTCCCCCACTAGACCTTCAGTTTTCTTAAGGCAGAAACCAAGTCCTCCTTTCAATTTCTAGATCCAGCGTCTAACCAGTGGCTTGCACATAGTGTGTGCTCAATAAATGTTAGTCAGAGTCATAAATTATTAAATGCTTTAAGTGACACGGTTGATCCAAGATCTGTAGTCTGAGCTGTTTCTTCAGTACAAGGGATGAATCTGTGCTATCCATATCAATCTTGTGGCCTTATCAATGTCAGATGTTAACAAATCAAAGAAAATGTGCCATTTTTGCTTATTTTTTCTTCCCTCAAAAAAATCCCTAGTACCACCTTCTAAGCTGAACAACTATATCCGAATGTGAGGTCACTCTCTTCACTAATAAAAATAATTCACAGGGAAATCTAATATAAAAGTGACCACAGGTACATGGAATCTCATATTCAAGAAACTTGAAAAAGAAAGATCAAATAGTCACACCCCTGAATCTACTTTTGGTCACAAACTGTTTTCTGGCATATATGTATGTTTTTACATAAAGTCAAATTCTAACAATAAGAAATATTTAACTACATTTTCAGACTCAACAAACAGATGGGAACATTTTCACATTCAAATGAATGCCACAAACTCACCTCATACACAGCAAGATCTATACCTGCGTAAGGTATGATGCCTAATAAGTTGGGAACATAACCTTTGTAAAAAGCTCCCATGCCTTCATGTTTCAAAATCTTCCTGGCACAATCGAATATTCCAGAGTATTGTCCAGTTTTGCCTATAGCTAGCCTGGTTTTCAAAACCTGGTTATGAAAAAATTTTATAAGAATGTTATTGTTCATATTAATTCATCATGGAATTCAAAAGAAGTAATTTTATAGAGAATAAAAACCTAGCACATATGGTTACTCGAATGACCCCACTTGTCGATGTGTTCTCCCTCACGTTATTTTCTCTGTTGAGAGGCTGAGACCAGAACCCAGAGGACACTTATTGCAAAGAGGATCTGAATGAGGGCAGAGGCAGAGAAAATGGAGAGAAGATAATCTATTGTTGTCTTCACAAAATTGGTGGCCAATTAGAAAAGGAAGGTAAGGGAAATGGTAGTGTAATGGATGACTCCGGTTCTTCGAGCTTGGAACACAGGATGGGGGCAGCAGGGAGGTGGGAAGGTGATGCTATGAGCTGAACTGGAGGACATAAAAGAAAGGCTGAGTACTGAGAATATTGTTTGAGGGGTGTGCAAGGAAAGCTATATTAATATGTGTAACCCAAAAATGAAAACCAAAAGTATATTTTGCTTGAGTCTTATCAGTTACTGAAAAACCTTCTGTCATATCAATAAAGATACCTACATCCACAATATTGTATTTGCTCTAGAGGAGCAAATTTCTTTTCTTTTTAAGAAAGACCACCACTGTTAGCTCAAGGGCTGTGTACAAAGTTGTCCACAGGTCCATGGTTTGCCAATTTGTGCTCCAGAAGGTGGTAAGTTATGACTACCACCAGCTAATTGAATCTTGAGGCTTCATTTTTAAATTTGTGGTATATAAACCCTTTGGAGAGGAATGGGTGTTATAATTCTCATCCACACTGTGGCAGCCGCCTCCAGGCCTCCCCTTCTCCTGGTATTCACACCCTGGGCAGTCCCCTCCACCGGGGTGGTCTGTGTGGCCAGCAGAAGACAGCAGAAGGGACACAGGACTGCAGCCTCCACCTCAGGTGCTCACTCACACTCATGTGCTCTCCCCCTCTTAGATGGTGGACTTGAGGAAACCAGCTACACGTCACGAGGATACTCAAGCAGCTATGGAGATGCCCGACTGATAGGGAACTGATGTCCGCAGCCCATGACCAGGCAGGCCTGGCAATGGACACAGGAGTGAGTCTGGAAGCAGATCCACCCCAGCAGAGTCTTTCAGTGACTGCAGCCCTGAGTGATACCTTGACGGCAGCCCTTGAGAAACCCTGAGCCAGAGGAACCCAGCTAAGCTACTCCTGGACCCCAGACCCACAGAAACCATGAGAAAATAAATGCTGGTTGTTTTAAACTGTTAATTTTGGAATAACTTGCTACACAGCAATAGATAATTAATACAAACACCATTAACACAGTCAGACTTCACAATGGTACTTACCTCCATAGGATAAATGAAAGTCTGTGCCGTTGCTCCAGCCATGGAACCAGAAACAAATCTCTCAAATGTTCCTATTTTCTGCCCTTCCTCAGTAAGCAACTTCTTGTACTGTATAAATAAAATTTTAAGTGCACATTAATTAATACCTCCTACAGACTGAATCGTGTCTCCTCCCAATGCAGATTGTGCAGCCTGCCCCCCAGTATGATGACATTTGGAGGTGGGGCTTGTAGGAAGTGATCAGAATTAGAGGAGGTCATGAGGGTGGAATCCTCATGACGGGGTTCGTGCCCTTCAAAGAAGAGGCACCGGAGAGTTTTTTCTCTCCCCTTCCCTCTGTCTCTCTCTCCACATGTATGCATCAAGGCAAGGCCAAGTGAGCACACAGTGAGAGGGTGGCCATCTGCAGGCCAGGAAGGGGGCCCTCCCCACAGACAAAGTTGGTCAGTGCCATGATTTTGGACGCCCAGCTCCAGAACTGTGAGAAATAAATTTCTGTTGTTTAAACCAACATCAAATGGTATTTTGTTAGGGCAGCCTGAGCTAAGACAGTACCAAAATATAAATGAGCTCCTAGAAATCAAATAATTGACAATATGATGATATTACTTAAAGTACAGACACTGCATTAACAATATATAGACGAAAGCGAGCTTAAATGCTGATATGTTCAGTTTACTGGATAGGAGGTTTCAAGTTAGATTTCCACAGAACACAGGTGTTCCATAGATGGGACCCAGTTGCTCCTTTGATGATACAGAATGTTATTCTTTCCGAGATGAATTATCCCAGGATTAATAAAGTGCTCATAATTTTTTGGCTATTTTCCCCATAGTTTTCTTTTTTCAAAGTGAGCCTATTTTTACCAGGACAAATAAAACTAAAAAATATGTGGCAAACAAACATAAACAGAACAACTTACAAAAACATTTTTATCAGTACTACATACAATTATACAAATACACCAAGCCCAGCGCCCATGCAGCCCACTGGTTATAAAGCACCAACACAGTTGATCTGACCAACTGTGCAAATCTGACCCCACGGCAGCCAATATATCAACAGGCCAGTATGTTAATAACAGGAGCTCATGAGTCAGGGAGATCTAGGCTGGAACCCCAGAAACAGATGGCCCAGAGCAAGTTCATGAGCATTCCATGCTCACTGCCCTTCCCTGTGATAACAGTGCCTATCCCATGGGATGCTGACAGTTTTAAGTAAGATGATACATGTAGTACAGCACCATGCTGGACACCCAGCAACTGGAGTACATGTTATCATTATTAATATATTATATTTCTATATGAAGAAAGAAAAGCTCTGCCCAGACACAGACTATGCTCATAAGCCAGGCAAACCAAATTCCTTCTTAGAAATGTGATGTGAGTCTACAGCAGTAATTAGCCTGACACCAGAGGGAGAAGTGGTTAAGTCAATAGAGATAAGACCACACATGGAAAAGGGACAGGTCAGTGAGGGTCCACCTCCTGTGCTTCTCTGAGGGTCCCTGCCCCCCTTAATGCTGCAGGCATCTCTAAGGGGCTCCTATTCCCCAAACCAGCCAGGGTTCTGTTCCTCAGGATCCAAAGAGCCCCATGCAAGTACACAAGAATACTTCTCCTAGTAAAATTGTATTTCTCTACTCATGGTAAAAATTACTTCTATTACTAAAACCCTAAAGAATCCACTCCAAAACTACTAGAACTAATATCTGAATTCAGCAAAGTTGCAGGATACAAAATTAATACACAAAAATCTCTTGCATTCCTATACACTAATGATGAATTAGCAGAAAGAAAAATCAGGAAAACAATACCATTCACAATTGCATCAAAAAGAATAAAATCCCTAGGAATAAACCTAACCAAGGAGGTGAAAGACCTATACCCTGAAAACTATAAGACATTCATGAGAGAAATGAAAGAAGATACAAGTAAATGGAAATACATCCCATGCTCATGGATAGGAAGAATTAATTTTGTCAAAATGGCCATTCTGCCTAAAGCAATCTACAGATTCAGTGCAATCCCTATCAAAACACTGACAGCAGTCTTCTACAAACTAAAACAAATGGTTCTAAAATTCATATGGAACCACAAAAGACCCCAAATGCCAAAGCACTCCTGAGAAGAAAGAATAAAGCTAGGGGTATTATGCTCCCTGACTTTAAGTTCTACTAAAAGCCAATTTGTAATCAAGCCAATTTAATCAAGCCAATTTGGTACTGGCACAAGAACAGACCCATAGATCAATGGAAAAAGAATAGAGAGCCCAGATATAAATCCAAACATATATGGTCAATTAATATACAATAAAGGAAAAATTCATATGGAAACACCAAAGACCCTGAATAGTCAAAGCACTGCTGAGAAAGAAGAATAAAGTGGTGGGGATCTCACTCCCCAACTTCAAGCTCTAATACAAAGCCATAGTAATCAAGAAAATTTGGTACTGGCACAAGAACAGAGCCACAGACTCTGTTAGAGTCTCTCTGGAACAGATTAGAGACTCTAAACATTAACCCAAATATATATGGTCAATTAATATTTGATAAAGGAGCCATGGACATACAGTGGGGAAATGACAGTCTCTTCAACAGATGGTGCTGGCAAAACTGGACAGCTACATGTAAGAGAATGAAACTGAATCACTGTCTAACCCCATACACAAAAGTAAATTCAAAATGGATCAAAGACCTGAATGTAAGTCATGAAACCATAAAACTCTTAGAAAAAAACATAGGCAAAAATCTCTTGGATGTGAACATTAGCGACTTCTTCATGAATATATCTCCCAGGCAAGGAAAACTAAAGCAAAAATGAACAAGTGGGACTATATCAAGCTGAAAAGC